ATCATTACATTCTACTTGCTAGTTGTATATTTACAATAAATCTAATAGTTACAAATATCATGAAGATGAAAAGGTAAAATATATGCAATCAACTACAAGTTATCTGAGTTATTTTATGTTGATAAAATTTATGCGATGGAACAAAACTTGTTTTGTGAAAATAAGCTTAACGTGTTCAATCTCATGTGCAATATTAATTACTTCTGTTGTCGTTGATTAAATTAGAATTGTTGACTATATATCATTGGTTGTACTATTGTTAATTGTTATTTTTGGTGATGGCTAGTATTGTTATTGTTGATATTGTTGTTGTTGTTGTTGTTGTTGTTGTTTTTATTATTATTATTATTGTTATTGTTCGTTACTACTACTCCTACTACTAATATTTTTATTTTTATTATTTTTAATAACGGTTCTTTAACGGTTCCGCGCACATATTTTTTATAGGAACCAGAAACCGAACCGTTAACAACTAATACCATATTTGTAGGAACCGAACTGAACCGGGTTTTAACGGTTCGGTTCCAACCGATTTAACGGTTCCCAGTTCCAAAATCCCACTCCTACTTCTTAGTCACATTTTTGTCATTTTTCAAAAATGGTCACATTTTTGGAAATCAGTTTAAATTTGGTAATATTCAAGGAAAAGTCATTTTATTTTCTGTTTTCAGTTTTTCATTTTCCAAATTTCAAGTTTAAAGTTTAAACACATGTTTTCCAAATTTCTTTTGTTTTTCATTTCACTTTTCAAAACCGTAAAATAAGTATATACATTGAGAAATTGTAACCTGATAGAACCGAAGGCGTAAAAGATGACAAATATTAGCTGACACCGTTAAAAAATAAATGTGTGTTAATGCAACATAAATTACTCGTAACTAGAAACATTCGAAATAAGACAAAAAGTTTAGATAAATGACAATTCACAAAAAAGACTTAATAAGTGACATTTTAAATAAGAAGCTATAAAAGATTGAAATTATGATGTTTTAATTGAACTCAAATTTTCTAGTTTGGCGGTAAAGAAGCTATAAAAGACTTAATTGACTAAAACTTTGGCCTGATCTCAGTGGCGGATTTGGAATTTGAGTTTTGGATGGTCAATGCTTTTCAGAACTACAAATTTTAAAGTGTAATAAATAATTATACCTAATTTACACATATATACCTACACGTTTTTAACATGAGTGGCCCCGTCATTCTGTCAATGCTTGATCTAGTTTAATGGGTGTCTGATACGTACGCATTTTATCATATTTGATAACATTTGTGTGGGTCTAATTCATTCCTATTTTATTCCCACTTTATCATATAAGTACGCTTATTTAAAAAATAGATCAATTTAGCCTTGTACCAGCTCTTGACCCGTGAGTTAGAATACTTTCAAGGGCCTCATTAAGTTAGTTTGAAACTTTAACTACCTTTCAACTGTTTTTAATAGAACGGAGCAGAATGTAGTTTTCAAGGGCTTCATTAAGTTAGAAAACTTTTATACCTTCGGGTTTTCAAACAAATTCTCACTTTGACTTTACAATTTTTTTAAAAGCTAATTTTTTTTACTTTTGATGTTTCCATTATCTATTTATTATTATATATAAGAAAGGAGATAGCTCTTTAAAAGACATTTCTATCCCTCTCAAATCCTACATGCTTGCCTCTCCCGTTTTTACGCCCTTCACCTCTTACGGCCACGTGGCTTCCTGTTCTGTAAGCGTGATGTTCACGACGAAAAGGCCACTGCTTCATCATCCCAAAAAAACGCTTCCTCTTTCCATCAAAAAATCTTCCGCACTCATCTCGCCCTGCGTTTTTTTCGGGATGATTGCTTGCATATAGGTTTCTCCATCTCCAATCATAGGCGATAAATCCGATAATATAGTGCCCAGCTCTTTCAGCCAACGTATGAGACCTCCAAATAACAGTATAACACAGCCACTATATATATAGATGTCGATCGACATTAGGGCTTCATACTTCTACTGCCCGAGTAGCACAGGTACTTTCTCTAACCTAATTCTTCATTTCTCCAATTCATTGTTCTCTAGATTACGGAATAATATTGTCTGGCTCTATTAAACAACTCTACTGCAGGTCATGAAGATGATTTTCTAAGATAATTGAATGCCAATTATTTAAAACAATATTGCTTCTTTCCAGTTTTATATGTATTTATGTGTTAGGTTTACTTTTCTACCACATCAACACAGCTTTGCTTGCACAAAATTTGGGGTGCCGAAGTAGCAGAGGTACTCTTTAATTCCCCGTTTCACAATCTTGGGTGACATTTCATCTGTTTCTATGTGCTCAAGAATCTTACCCCAAGTAAACAAAAAAAAGAGTTGATATCAATGAACCAAGATGCCATATGCCTGCTTTTTTATATGAACCTTTCTCAAGTTTATAAGGCTATAAGAACCTTTCTTAAGAACCTATAAGGCTATAAGAACCTTTCTGAAGTTTATAAGAGTGTGTAATGGATACCAGGTAATTAATGTATAAGTCATTCTCATACTTTCTTTTTAAACATTCTTAAACACATTTAGAAGTGATCCTATATTAGTTTAAATGTGCATAGTGAGTTGTTTCTGTATTATAACTAAAGTGTTACCATTGTCAAGTGTTCTGTGTTCGTATTACTATTGTTGAGTAGCTGTGTAATAGTATCAGACATGGAGAAGTCTTCCATCACTTTTCCATAAAAAAACTCTATGCAATTTCTTAGATTTTCTTGGTTTTCCTTCTTTCTGAAAAGCTTAGTGAAATGGGATACGTGACAAATAAACTCTTCAAGTATGCTAGGATTTACATCTATCTGTCTCAGTAAATGTTAAAAACTCCAATTAAGAAAGTGAACTACGGAAAAATAAAAAAGAAGGTTTATTTGGGTAAGTCAGTGTTACCAAACACTCAAATACAATAATTGAAACATGTCATTCCAATATTATTCAATTAAAGATTTAGGACAAGAAAAAACAAACATTAAGAAGATGAAAACTAGGGGAAAAGGCACATTTATTCTCTCTTGATATGGCTTCCATAATCTCCTCTTTAAGTTTAATGCTCCTATTAGTGCTTGATATTTTTTACATTTAGTAGCGTCTAATGCTTTCTTGCTGGCTCTTTTCATATGAAACATGAATTCCTTTTCTTAACCATCCTTGAATCCTTCCTAAAATATATGTGCAGATTTTTGTCTTTCTTTATATCTTTTATGTATGAAATTATGAAATTGTAGTTTCCAATCATTTAGAGGTACCTCTCCTTTTTTCAATTCTTATGACTTCAAGTAGTGTTCTACAACAGATCTGTGCAATCTCATCCATATCATTTCATTTTAGTTTTTTAACTTCATTTTTCTTACCCTATTATTCTCATTATATGTTCAGTTTTTTCAAAGATCTTTGGGTATCTCAAGTCCTCAATGCAGAGTACCACTTGGCCACGACCAAAGAATTGATTGAAAACTTTATGGATTGTGAGAATTGTTTAAGTTGAATAGGCGAGTATGGTTGCTAGATAGTCGTAGTTTGATAGTAATAATGTTAATATCACCTTATCCTTGAATCTATTTATGATGGTTTAATCTTTTTTTTGCAGGTTTTGTAACAAACAGTGGGATAAACTTATCTCTTATTTTCTGCCTCAGGATTTATTAACTCTTATTTGTATGTGAAATTTGTATTCCTCATCACGAGATGAAGGGGTGAAAGAAGACTTTTTTCACATTCTCCATGAACAAGTATTTTAGTTTTTTATATCAGTTTGTAAATATTTGGAATTTTACTAATAAAGATCTCATTATATAAAGTTGGAATTTCATCTCAGGATGTTAGCCTTAACATGATACATACATTATACTAGGTTAGGAAGCTTTGCAAAAAAAAAAAATATGTGCACTAAGCTTGAAAGAAAATATTTTTTCTAAATAGAGTAGGATGCATGCAGAAGCTTCTAATCTCACGTTGTTCTGTTTTGTTATCCTTTTACTCGGAATCTTCATGAGTTATACATGCTTTATTTCCCTTATATAGTAAAGGGTTATACATTTTTAGGTACACTTGGGATAAAGGAATATTTTTGAGCTCATTTATAATGAAAACCGGTCTATATCTAAACAAAAGAAGTGTATATTTAACTTTGTTTCACAATGACTTCTTTCATTTATTTGGAGGTTTTAATGTAGTCAAATATTTTGTGGTTAGAGAATATTCCTAAATAGAATTAAAATATAATAATTTTTTTTAAAAGTAATGACCCTGTCAGAGTGTTAGGTTGACATGGTAGGACCTGTCGTCTGTTCTGACTCCCGAAAAAGTATGTTATACATATGTGGACTTGTGAGTGAAAGATTTGAACGCAAAAGAAAGCATGGGGAAATGAAAGCAAAACAGGAAAGTAGGCACTAAAACCACATTGGAGAAGAGTTGAGAGTATAAATGTAATAAAATAGTCTAAATAAAATAGTCTAACACTTTCCTACTACTTATGTCTCGAAAAATTTTGATCTTTAAACTTTGAACAAATATATATTGTAAGTTATTTATAATATAAAAGTGTTCTTTTTTAAAATATTTTCATGAAAATATAAATTTATAACTTTCATAATATTATAGTAACCAAAATAATGGTCCATTTCATCTATATGTATTTCCTTCTGTAAATATTTTATATCCTCAAACGGAATAATTTTCTTTTGTGGTTAACTATTTTTTTTGAGTACTTTGTCACATATTATAGTATATATGTTCGGTTAAATGTCAACATCCTTTTAATGGGATGAGTTTCAACCTGTGAACTCCTCCATGAGAGTGGCACAGTGATATCATCGAAACAGAAGTTGCTCGGCAAAATCAACATACTACATACTATTTTATGAGCAACTATTTCTATTTGTTTTCTTTTTAATTTATCAAATAGATCTCCAAAGCAGGTTTTTCACTGTGGTTCTTAATTTATTGTTTTGTTCTTACTGAAACTTCACATTTATATAGTAATGTGAAGTGTGATCATGCCATATCTTTTGTTTTAAACATTGAAAGACTTTGTTTTATATGTAAAGAAACTAATTTACAATCAATTATAATTGACATACAAAACAGTTACAACCCGTGCGGATGCACGGGTAAGGTACTAGTATCCTTCCAAAAAGTAGATCAGTGCAAAATTAAACCGTAGAAATCAATAACGAAAACATATGTCATAACCAGTTTCATAAATAGAGGTCTATTAACAATACCTAATTTTTCGCTCACATCATCCTTCATCATGGTGATGACAAAGAATCGTTCATTGAGATTTAGGGTTTGAAGACCTGAATGACTCTTTTGTTCTGCCATAGTACACCATTGCATCTCCGGGATAGACTATGAAATTCCAGCCAAATGCGGACCCGCCAACTATATATGTCCCATTGGCAATGGCATCAACCGTGCGTGGTTTTAGGGATAGACTTCCTGAGGAGGTCACCCCCTTATCATCACAAGGCTTCATTAATGATGCGGGCCTCTCTGAGGGAGCCGGAGGCTTCTCTGCAGATTTCATATTCTGGTTTGTAACGCTGCTGGGCTTCAGCCCCTCAGCTCCATTCTTAGATTGAGTTGGTGCTGTTGCCCTTTGTGCTGCCATCTCTTTGCACAGATCCATCAGAACATTCAGCTCTGTGCATCAAACATTTTATTAAACACACATAAGATAGGGGTCCGGACTAAGACAGGTGGATGACCCGAATTAGAAGTAAAAAGTAATTATCCATATAATTTTTCCTAGCATGTGAAAAGGCTTACAAAAGAAAAAATGATGTGCATTGAGAAAAAAACAATTACTCTTATATCTCACAACTTCATTTCATTGTATGGGCTTCAAATATATGGAAGCCCGCTAACCCCTGCCCCAAGTCCCCCAACCCAACTCCTCAGGTGTGTATGAGCACACCAGCAAAAAATACAAGTAAAACCTTAGGATGTGTGGTAGATCTTGGAATATGACAGGGATTATGGGATAAATACGAAAGTTGTTTCTATTTGTTTGTTTACCTTGGAATACAAAAGAGGAAATTCGTTTTTTTGTTATTATTACATTTATTTAGACTTCTTAGTCTTTATTTAATACAAAATAATACGGAGTATCCAAGAAGAGCTTGAACGAGCATTAAAATTAAATTTATTGAATTTGATCTTATCTTTTATTTCTCCAGAGTTTTTTCTTCGTTACAGTTTTCCGCCTAGCATCCTGGGTTCCAAACAGACCCTATTGCTTCGAACCGGAGACTATCAATTTCCTGAATGAAGTATGACTCATACTTTAGGAGGAGAACACGCTAGTGTCGTGTACTTCTGAAAACTAACATAACTAAATAAGCTATTTAAGAAGCTTAGAAGGGATCACTTTCTCTCCTCTCCTAATCATAGCAGCCCGCTACACAAAGCGTCATCACATAGAGAAGGGTGCGGAAAAGGTCGAACCATCAGAGTGTCATGTATCCAGTTTTTTTTTTGGGGGGGGGATGCTTTAGTACTAACAAACTTACAAAAAAAATTACGAAAAGGTGATGTGCCTATTGTAATCATTAATCACCTGTAATACAAAAGTGGTGCGCTGTGTTAAACAATATGATGTTGTCACATGCCTCTTTTGTAAGAGTTTTTGTAAGAGAGTTTGTACCTTTAGCAGAATTTTTTTCTTTGAAACAACAAGTACACCAAATCTTGAATGTCAAAATATTAGATCTCAAAGAGATGCAATTTTTGGTCATAGATACTATGGTAAGAAGATAAAGCCAAAAGTAACTTGCATCTTGATGTCAAATCCTCATATCAAACATATACTTAATAAACTGATAGATGTCTGTAAGTATCTCATTACTTATCAGCTAGTGTTCATAAAAACCCTGATAAAATCTACCATTACTAAAACTTTACCAAACAGAGGTGTAATGAAATTAGTGACTGCAAATGATGCATTTCTTCTAATGCAAAATGAACTAGGACACGTTATAGTGCAAAATATTAATACATCTGTTTTCTCAAATAGCATAAAGATGAAATCACACAAACATCTTAGATATGAATCTCACAGAAACTTATGTAGACTACATAGTTTAACTAAACATTCGGCCATGTTTGGTTTGCGGAAAGTGTTGGGTAAAGGAATGAAAGTCGTAGGGAAAATTGTCCTCCAATGTTTAGTTTCACTACAAATAAGATTATAAGAAAAAAGATATTTAACTTATGTGTTTTGAAAACATTTTTTACATTTATTTGTCTTTAAATAATAAGAGAAATAAAAACGAATTATATCAAATTAATCAAATTTGATATAATTAAATTGAGCTTGGAAAATTGCTTTATTTTATCTCACATTTTCTGTACTAATATACTTCCTACATGTTATCTTTCCTTAGCATTTTCAAGCTTCAAATGGACCCCTAAGAAGTACGGAGTAGTTATTTTGTAGTAATAAAAAATATCAATCCTCTCTCAGAAATTCCTCAACAAAACAAGCCCTGATGTGCAAAAGAGTTATTGTAGTAAAATGTCTTCTAAATCTTACCTTGACGAATTTCAGTAGCTGCCTTGCAATTGCGGAAGTCAGGAGTACGCAGAACCTTCAACGTAAGAAAGAAACAGTAAGAAATTCATCAGTACCATTTATGGGATTACATTTAAATAAACGTTTCTAGTGCAATAATTAGATGAAAGAGAGAATTCTGTTGCTGAAATGAACATGTGACCCTGAGCTGGAATATAATCAACCTAACTAAGATACAGAAAGCTTAAAGAACATTTTTTCAAGATATCCACTGAATAAAGAACTAAAATTACAGCGATGGCCTTGAACTTAATCACCACAAGTATATATGTATATGTAAATTCCTTTTTGAATAATGTCTCAACCCTTGTATGATTGGTAAATTTAAGAGGGTGGGGGTGAGTAGTTATATTGTGAGATACATTATTTAACTAAGGAAAGGCCTAAGCTAACAACACAGTTGAGAAGGTTGCTGGTTTGGGGCTGGTATGGAGGCAGGGAGATTTAATTCCGAGCAGTATTGGAGGGGCTTTAAAGCTTGATGCAGAAGCGGTTCCCTATGTTATTTATTAGTCACTCTGCTTTTGATTCATTTCCTATTCGTTATCATGTATTTTGAAGGGGATGATACTTCGGGAGAGGTTTTGGTGTTGTCCCCCTCTCCTCCTTTTTGTACGCTCTGGTCTCAAATAAAATAATGGCAAATGTTCCCTGTCATTTGCCCCACTGGATGGGGTGGTTTGCCTTCCGGGGTAAAAAAAAAAAAACTAAGGAAAGGCCTAATTTGTGATATGAAACTATCACACTAAGAAACGATAAATTAGTAAACCCAATTTCATCCCACCCTGCCGCTTCCATCCTCAAAATCTCGAATCCGAACAAAGCCTAAGTAGACCAAAGGGAAGAGTTTAACCATCTGCCGAATTTACTAAAAAATGATATTTTCCTGCTGTACTACATCTCATTCATATCTTTTTTCTTTTGTCAGTAAAATAAGATAAATCTTATTAGATACTCTATGGGTGAGCGGTTTTTCAACGAATTAATCAATTAACACAATCTAACAAGTCCAAAAATCGCCCAAAAGAATTGAAAGCATCCTCCAAAATTCATTTGAAAAATGTGAACAGTTTCAGAACTTGTTATGAAAATGGGTGTACCTGAATGATATGGGGTCGAAGTTCTTTAACTATGGCTCGCATCTTGAAGTAAGGAGTGCTCTGCAGGTGCGCGACGTCAAGCTGCCTCTTTTTTGCCTTTGGCTGTTCCATGGCTGATCCCTAGTCCTTACACGGCATTCATCAGACAGAAAAGAGATGTGATAATTATTTCGGAGTACTCCGTATAAGCCACGATAATCCTACTCGATTCAAGAGGAGGACAAAAACCGATCACTTACCCACCCCAAAGTGCCGGCAGGGTCAGAAAATGGAGTCCGGTCACCCAGGATGGGCCGGGTTTTTACTTTTTAGGACACTTCGGAATGGTAACATTTATTTTTAAGCTTTTTTTCATAGTTTTCTAATCTATTTTTATAATGTGTTTTTTGTTGAGGTCGACATCCTTAAATTGGAATAAGATTCCAACATGTAATTTCTTTGGAAGTGTCAAAGGATATCATCAGATCACAAGGTACTTGACCATTTTTTGTTAGTTATAAATGCTCATTTAATCGTTTATACTACGGAATATATAATTATTACTTGTGAGATGAATTGTCATTAGATTTCCCAAAATAGGAGTAAATGGAGTTTGAAATTCCAAAATAAGACTACTATGTTTTTATTCCCGAAATACGAGTAACATGTCTGTGTTTATTGTCATCTTATAGACGTGTATGTCAAATAGTTATGGTACAGTGCATGTAACATGACAATATTTATTATAGTTAATGACAGTATTTTTCAATCATGGAAGAGAAACGAAGTAGTCCTGCTTTAAAATTTTAAACCTCATTTGCTCCTATTTAAGCAATTTCCCTTTTTAAAAATAAGCTGCAAGATAAATTACTATCTCTTGAATTTCTTGACTATTAGACTTGTGCAACGATCCATGCACGTTTACAAATTACAACCCATTTAGCGGCAATTGGGCCTTTGGGCCAACCTTCACTCTAGTAGAATCAGGGCCGACCCTTGGGGGAGGGCAGCAAGGGCGACCGCCCTAGGCCCGAAAAAAATAGAAAGAAGAATAGGCGCAAATTTTTTTCTTTATATGTAATTTGAGTAAGCTTCTTTTTTATTTATAAATTCAATTATTTATTTAGGCTTAATGTGTAATTTTTGTTGAAAATTTGAAAATTTTAAAGCATCAGTAAAAAGTCTTGATCAAAGCCAGACAAGTTTCAAAAAAGAATATACTTTTAATTTTGATTTTTAAGTAAGTAATTCAACACATTTGTTGGTGAATCAATAAAAGCATATCTCTTCACATCGATTTAGTCTTTAAGGCTTTTAATTCCTTTTAATCACAAAATTACCAATTTATACTAGTGTCTTTGGGCTGCTAGCTTCGCCCAATTCTCAAAATCGATTAAGTCTAAATAGCTTAATCGATTGGCAATTTTAAGCATTCAACCTGAGATCTTGGAAAAGATTGATTGTAAAACAATTATTGATGACTTCACTTCACAATGTTCTTTTGTGATACTTGTGTTGTTACTTTTGTCCAAATGTGTAATTCCAACAAGTGAATTTCATCTTTATTTTATAACCTTCATTAGATAGTTGGAAGAACTACCGAAACATAGGAGTAAAAAAATATTTGAGAATTCCAAAATAGGACTATCATGTTTTTATTCTCCAAATATGAATAATTACTGCGAAGTTTAGAAAATACTGTCATGTTTAAAGTCTGATACTGCCAAACATGACAGTAATTACTCATATATAGAGAATAAAAATATAATACTCTTATTTTGGAATATACAAATGTTTTTAATCCTATTTAGGGTGATTCCCATAGTTTTATACTTTTATTATACATTGTAATCCGTATTTCAAGTAAGTATAATTTAGCGTGTGTCTTGGAAATAAGCCCAAATTAGTATATCTCCCATAGACCCAAAACTGGAGAGGACCGGCCATGAGTAGAATAGTAGTTTAGCCATTTATACTCTGCATTACATATATACTTAGGATGTTTTTACTTCGGCTGTAATTTGCTGGTCTGGTCTGGTAATGTCCCGTCTCTTTGTATTTTTATAACTATTCAAGCCTGGTCTAATCTGGTCTGGAACGGATTACAGTCCAAGTAAAAACATCCTTATAACTACTCCGTACTCCCTTTTAGTTTTATCATAATCGAATTATTAGTTCAACTTAGGCTGTGTTTGTGAAAGATTAAAAAAACACTTTTCAGCTTTTGACTTAGAAAAAGTTGAAATTGGTTTTTTCAAACACCAACTTCTGCTTAAAAAATCACTTTAAAGCCAAAAACTAAAAGTTGGTCCTAGGGTGCTTTTAATTGCTTCTGGATTTTTTCGTAAATAAGTTTGAGGATGTTTATAATGCTAAATAAATCCATTAAAAATCTAAAATACCCCCACCCTTCTCTTCACAGAGAGGTCGTTACACGCCATGTCTATCATATGCACCGTCAGCTTCAACCTCTTTCATAGGAACGTCGACCTTGAAGATGTGAGTGCCTCCGTCATGTCCTTCCATTCAATTCGAACCTCCGGTTTGAAGATGTGAGCTTTGGCGTCCCCTTCCGGCCAATCAAGCTTCTGACCTTGAAGATGTGGGGGTAAGGTTGTGGTTTGATGTCGATGACTTAATGAGTATTCTTTTTCTCTTGAAACCAGGAGTAAAGATTTACCCTCCACCCTTTGAATCGGATGATATTGTGATGTGATTTCACAAATTAATTGACCAATTCCTTAGTCACCCGTTGATGAAATCCGGCTGGAAGTATCGATGCTTTATTTGAGCGGGAAGTTTTGGAGTGTTCCCCAAATAACAAAGAGAAGAAAAGATTTCGGTAATAAATTAGCTGGATTAAGGGATGTCTGCGTCCATGAGAGTAGAACATATAGCCACTGGAGTACTAGCGAAGAAGACAATGACGTTTCTCTGTGTATAAACGTAATTATAAAATTTATGCACAGAGAAACGTCATTGTCTTCTTCGCTAGTACTTGTAGTAAATTATAAATTTTATAATTACGTTTATAAAAGGTCATTGTAAATTTTCTAATTACAATTACAAATTTTATAATTAGGTTTATACACAGAGAAACGTAAATTATAAAATTATAATTACGTTTATATAAACATTATTAAATTGAAATTATGAGTGAAATTAGAAAAATAAAATTTGCATAATTGAGATTTGTACAAAGAATATAAGCAGAAATATAAATAAATACATAAATAAATAAATAAATAAATAAATAAATAAATAAATAAATAAATAAATAAATAAATAAATAAATAAATAAATAAATAAATAAATAAATAAATAAATAAATAAATAAATAAATAAATAAATAAATAAATAAATAAATAAATAAATAAATAAATAAATAAATAAATAAATAAATAAATAAATAAATAAATAAATAAATAAATAAATAAATAAATAAATAAATAAATAAATAAATAAATAAATAAATAAATAAATAAATAATCGCTTTAAAGGAAAATGATAATATTTTTAGGAGAAACAAAAAAGTAAAATTGATAAAGTCTTATTGTATGGAGAGATTATTAAATTTAGCAAGAAAATTCTACATACCAACACCATTCTTAAGCTTCATCATTCCACATAGTGATTGCTTTTGCTTTTATCCTGAAGTGATTTTGAATAAAGTACTAGCGAAGAAGACAATGACGTCATTGTCTTCTTCACTAGTATATGTAATTGTAATAACAATTATAAATTTTATAATTACGTTTATAAATTACTTTTATTCTTTTGAATAAATTACTTTTATTCTTCGCTAGTACTTGTAGTAAATTATAAACGTCATTGTCTTCTCTTTTCTATCTAAATTAACATGCATAATAACAATAATATTTCAAGACATTTATAAAAAAATTGTAAAATTATTTCTGTCCGAAACAATAATATTATACTATTGTACAATAATGGTCCTATTTGTACCTTTATCAATGTTTTAGGAATTAACACTATTATTATCAACTCTTAAACCCCCTTTGCAATGATGTGGTCATTCTGAATCGTTTCATTTTCAGTAGCTAAACCTTCTCTGAATTCTCATATTGATCGAGAAGGATGTCGAGAATTTGACTTCTTTACACAAACAAACTTTTTATTGAACATTTTTATTATGTGTCGCTTTCTCTAATCTTTTCCTATTTTTCTCTTTATCCTATCCAGATTAAATCATTTTTATTACACCCTGAAATTAATTAAATTTATAATTTAATTATAATAGAAAATTTTTGTCCAACAAAACCAATAATTTATAACACCAACACTAAATAGATAAAAAATATTAAGTTTGATGAGCATGTTTTTCATCAAATACAGATTATTATGTCCATAAAGTTTCATCTTACAATTCAATCAGAATATCATTTAAATAAATTATTGAATTACAATGCGTCAAAATATGCATAAAAACACCGTGTTTTCAATAATTTATTTATTTGACTTCTAGATTGAATTTCAAGCCAAAACGTTGTGGACAATATCGACACTTCATATAAAACATGCTCATAAATTTTCATCAAAAAAATTTACACGCAAGCAAATCAAAAAGTTTTATTGATTGAAAAACTAGTGTACTCATATATACGGAGTATTGATGATGTAGTAAACTTTGATTTCAAACCAAAGTTTCATCTTAATTAATGTTAAAAAAAAACTTAAACCTAAATTGTTATTCATTCTTTTGGACTTAGCGCCCCGCCCATGGCAAAATCCTAATTAAGGGAAGACAATATCCAAAATATTTTAGGAGTAGAAAATAAAAGGGTGAAAGCTTTCTCAGTCGTCTTTACCCTACGGCAGGCGGCATCCCTGCTGTACAATCACCATCGGTTCTCTACTTACGACCTTTTGTAGCCAAATAGCCAAGTAGCCAATCATGATCTTTGAAAAATATGCCATTATGATTGAAAGATCTTTATATTTCAGCTCTTAAAGGGAAAAAGAGGAAGACATGTTTGTGCATTATCCACTGATACCGCGGATTTTCAGAGTATAATTCACATTACTTTCTATTATTAGCTTAACTTTTTAACATCCTGCACATGCATTGTCTAATTGATATATACTCCCTATATAACGTATATGTATGTGTATATAGTATAGATAACGTAGAGGAATGCTCAGGTCCATCCGGAGGGACGGGAGGTTCCGTCCGAACTTTACTGTTTGAGGCGGTTTCCGATGGAATTTTTTGATGAAATTTTTTGAGCATCTTCCTCATCAAGTCTAGTTTATCCATATCAAATTTCAGCTAAAAATTCGATCGGGAAGGCATTCAAATAAATTCTTGAAACATACTGCACATTCTGCGCACATATAATGTGCAGTATGTTTCAAGAATTTATTTGAATGTCTTCCCGATCGAATTTT